GACCTTTGGTACGGCTCAGCTAAATGTGATTTTCACGAAGAGACCTTTACCAGTTCCGAGGTTCAAAGATCGAGTGCCTGATCATCTCCAATCAATGTTAATCTACCGGTTCACCTGCCCGTGCGGGACCAGGTACATTGGACGGAAGACCAGGCATTTAGGTAACAGAATTAAGGAACACTCCCAGGTTGGCTCTACAATCGCGAGAATAGGACAAACTGCAGCGCGATTACCAACCATCTAATCAACACAGGCCACCAGATAAACAAACAAACACCCTTTCAGATTCTCTACAAAATACCACGAAGGCATAACCATCGTGTAAGAGCAAGCCTACTTGTCACCGCTGAGGCAGTATGCAAACGCCCGACAAATCCGGACTTGTGTGTTTAGAAGAAGTTGGTACTAACATTACAACTTCCCTGGCCAACCACCAGTCGGGAAGGAAGTGATGGTACTCCGCAACTCCACCTGACTTCAATCATGTGATCAGATGGCTGGCGTGATGATCACAAGTTAAATTTTCTGATCAATTGTTTCTTTGTTATACTGACGATTGCAACAGACCTTACCCTGATGTATATTATTGTATGAGCCTGAAGAAGAATTAATCGAAAACAATTGTTCGCTTAAAGCTTCGTGTTTTGTTTATCTTTCTGAAATTGACATAAAAAATGAGCATTATGCTTGAGCTAATGAAATGATTGAAGGGGACTCAGTGTTTCCTACCAGATAAGTCAATTGTTAAGGATCAGACTATCACATTTTCACAATACTCTGCACTGGTTGGGGATAGATTGGTGGCCCTCCTTCTTTAAAACTTAGCCATGGTAGACAACGGGTAACCAGTTATTAGCTTACGGCTCGATTAGTAGAGAACACGAATACAACGCTTTTTCACTGACTAAGGGAAACGACTACCAGGTGCTCACTGACTTACTACCACTCTCCTCAAGCCAGGTAGTCCCTCGTCAACTTGTTGCAAACCCACCAACTCTTACCTACGACTGGCTGTTGTCGCAATTGCGTAACATCCTGCGGCCAGAAAGCGCATATGAATCGTCCTAAATCTTTAAAGGCCGCATGCGGCAAATCTCATACAGATCCCTGTGAGTCTATTTAATTACACTGTCGTCTTGTGAGTCAAAATGTTGAATCACAAGCTAGAAATCGGGCACCTCAAGCAAAACCCCCTTCGGAATGGCTTGTCAGAGAGTACCATTTGCTCTTTCGACTCTGCGGAAAATACTCTTTCTCCTTTCAACTGTCTTCTTTCTCCTTTCAAACAAGAGTGCTGTTGACCTCATAGCTCCTGCAATCGATACATTAACTCGTCCCTCAAACAAAAGATCTCACTGAATACTGATTTGTTTAATGCCCGCACTCTACCGACTGATAGCACTAACTCACTTTGCTCCCTTGGTATTGATGTTTGCTTTGTCTCCGAAGCACGCATACAAGCTAACAGCTTCATGGCGAATCTAACACTATGGTTCCGAATCTGTCGGCGTTAACTACACTTTTCACGTCACTGACGATAATGAGTCAATAGCTTAAGGTATTTATGATGTCGATATTACTCTGATCAAACGTACTGGAGGCGTTCTACTCGACTGGATGTTGGGGAACCGCCGAATGTATGCTGTTTGGCTTAGTACTTCTATTTGGGTTGGTAGGCACCGTTTGAAGATAAGGTGTCTTTTTCTCGCCTCCGTTATTGCCCCTGCTGACTGCAGTCCGGAGGTTATAGAAGATGATTTTTATCATTAGCTCTCATCTCCGCATGACGAAAATATAGATGTGATTTTCTGATGTCATGAATGTCCAAGTAAGTCATCTTTCGAACTTTGAACAGTGCCTGAGTGGCCGCTCCGGTGTCGATGCATGTCAAACAAACAATGGCGATCGATTCCTACAAATGTGCGCTTCCCACAGTCTTTATATTAGCTGAACGGCTTTTCAATATAGACGTTCATCTCGTTTCACCTGGCGCCCACCGAATTAATCGATGACTTGGACCCAAATGGACCATATAACCATCAGCTACAAATTGTCGCTTCATGACTGCCGGTCAATTTTGTGCGCGTACTTGGAGTGCGACTATGTTCTTGGTGATTCAAAAAAGCGCTTAACTTCTAAACTCCTTACTTGTGGCTTGAACTCGTAGTCTGAAGTTCAACACTATTATACCGAACTGTCCCATAAATTGTCAGTGGTGTGTGAGGGTGGTTCGCTGGACGCTGTCTGGAATCGTCTCAAGCGTGCAACGAGGAATGTTTTTGACTCGTGCTGTACGCCAAACTGGTTCAGCCTTGTGGCTATATCTTTCGTCTCACAAGTACGAAGTGTATTCCCATACATACAGCATTATTCATTACTCTGTTCTGTGGTGCTTGTATAACGGCCAAACTAACTTCCCTTACTTTTGCTGAGATCTCACATGAAGTGACGCTGCCAGAGCGAAGCAAGGCGCATGTACTCCATAATCTCTCATTCTTGGTAGCAGCGGTCGTTGAAGTAGCTGTAGTGACTGTTCAGCACTTTGTGGTGCACTGAGGAAACGCATTTAGAAGAGCGCGCATTCGACTGTTGTCCCCAACTCTAACAGGAGTCATACCTGTGAAAATCACCGAGGCTTTAATCTTGTAGCAATTATCCCCAAGCTTCTCACATGTATCTTCATACTTATTGAACACTTGACCAGTAAACATTTGGCAGAGTACCACAACACATGAGTAATAACAACAAAAAGGAGAAAGAGTGTCAGCGGAAGAGATACGAAGATCCATGGGTTGTGTGGACAGAGAGCTTCCCGGTTGCCCAGACCGAAGAAGAGGGTTGACTTAAGGGACCCCACTCCGAGCCTTTGGTCTTAAGACCTAACCCGCAAGGCAGCGGGGTGATTCGCGAAGACCGTTGACAGCCAAGCGGCTCATTTGCCTTCTTTGTGTTCGAAAGCAGTCCACAAAGAAGCCGGTGGCCAGCGAGGTTGTTCATCCGCCCTCCGTTAGATACTCCCAGTTACAGGAGTGAGTAGTCAGTGACCCTATAGCCGGTCACATTGGCTTTGACCCAGCGTCGTACGAGCACTTGTGGTATTTAATGGAGAACCAGGTAACCATTTCAGAACCCCCCACGCTCTGAGACGCTGCCGCGGATTGCCCGCGACTGCTTATTCATCTCACTTGCAAAGCAGACGAGCCTTATTCGCAGTTACCTTCGCAAGGAAGGCATTCCCAATCCGAGACCTGGGGATGCGCCGGATAGCGTACAGCTCCGCCACGTGTCATGCTGCGAAGGTTAACTCGGTTTTAGCCATATCGGAGTGCATTTTGATTGTTCGCTTTGTTAGGCGCTTGAGTGTACGGATTCACACAGACGGCACACTGCACTCGTGTTCCTTGCATTGAAGGCAGCCTTCGATTCTGTTGATCACATCCGTATGTTACTAACTGAGCTTCCTTTTGGAATGTGTATCGGTGATCCCTTACTATCCTGAAAGCCCCATATTGCAACTCCCCGGCCGTCTGCGTTCCTGTTGGGTACTGTATCCTTGGTTCACCAGGGTGATTGGGGTGCATCAACTATACTATCGTTCTCTCTCTGAACGTTATGTTAGGAGGCTATTAAAGGACTTTTCCTGATTCTTCTGCATTAGCAGTTCTGTGTATCACCGGCCGTGTGTGTGTGTGTGTGTGTGTGGATGACACTGCCCTCTTGCATCCCGACCTGGTTAGTGTTCGGTCGTTCCCGAATGAGCTGACACAGATCGTTGTGCACCTCAACCTGATTTGTTTCTTATAGTCTTGAAGCCTCGTAGAATTGAAGTGATCTATTAGCTGGTTTCATTATAACGGATAAGCTACTCGAAATAGTCCATGTATCTGCCTATACTTAATTGTATAAATCCTGATGTTTCGCTCACCAAATGAGTTTCTGTGTACAACAGTAAGGCTGGTATGGCTTTACAATTCCTCAGCCGTATTTGGGGACACTGTCACATTAGGTTTTGTGCTGAGGACTGATGGTGTTGGAACCAGAGACACGGTTATTATGCAGCGAAGACGTTAGTCCACTATCTATGTGTTACTATCAGTGCCCAAACAAGGTGGCCACCTTCTGGTGTGGGTGCCAGCTGTGTGCGCATGGGGTCTACTAGCTACCAATTTCTGTTTACCTTCCTGTAATTTCAGTTTTTCCTTTTTTCTTTAAAGTGTTGCTCTCTTTTGTTTGCGTTTTCCTTTCCACATCGATGTATCGAGGTGGATCATGGTGGCTGTATTCTCGACTTGCCAGAGTTCTGATCCTTGTAGACTCTAAAATCTGGTACTCCGGCCTGTCCTGATGCATAGGCAATGAAGCACTAGTAGTCATGTTTTTACTGCTACTGCAACTGGTTAATCTCCCTATTACCTATAGTAACAAATGCACTTTTTTCATAATAGTGTCTTATTCGGCGAATCGAAAGTCAGGTCTTTTGCACCACTTGACTAAACATTGTCATCCCTATTTGGTTTTCATGAATAGTGAGTGAATTTACCTTAGTCTCTCTCAAAGACATTTTTCCTGACGGCTTTCTATCTTTCTTCTTCGTTTTTCATCATCACGCCAGACGTCGCCGTGGGGGGAGAGTATGTTCACCTTGATACCTTCTTGTCGACTTTCATACTTTTCAAGTAGATAACAACGCATTTGTGCGTACCAGATCATTTTGTCCCAACATAGCCTGTATTCATGTCCTAGGCGAATGCGTCTACACAAGTGTTCAGGCTATGAAATTCACTGCGTACCATGAATCGGATTTTGCCTACCATCTACTGTTCGCACCATCGTTCTTATCATTGTGCCACGTTTTCAGTGAATCACTTATATGAATTGTGCTACTTTGCATATGCACTAACTTTTTCTGCTGTTGAATTACTGCACTTACCTTTGTTGCCGTTTTAATGTGAGCACAAGTTACTTTTTAATCACCAGACTCGTCTGCATTCAAGTTCCCGATGGATAATAACCATGATGGCTTTACCAGATGTGAACTATTATGCGATTCTTTCGATCGCATGAATCTCAAAGAGGGCCTGCTCCGCGGCATCTTTGCTTATGGTTTCGAAAAACCATCTGCTATCCAACAACGAGCAATTCTACCCTCCATCGAAGGTCGAAATGTAATCGCGCAGGCCCAATCTGGTACTGGTAAAACGGCAACGTTCAGCATAGCGATGCTGCAACAAATATGTAACACAGATCCGCAGTGCCAGGCGCTTGTATTAGCTCCCACACGTGAGCTAGCGAAACAAATTCAAACGGTGAGTTGTTTCAGTTCTGAAGCGGTTGTCGTTTTGACCGTATTTCAGAGTTACGAGGGTTTTAAACAGTGAACTGTTTCCACCAAACTCTTCTGTTGTGGCTTTTTATTTTGGAGACGCCTACAGGGCAAGACACTACCTGGTTTAATCATTCTTTGCTGCTTATCTTAGGCAACATCTCAGGTTTATGAATTCATATAGGTCATCTCGCAGAGCATACTTGCTCCACCTGTACGTGCTATTTCTACTCCGGTATCCTACAGCTTTTTAGTGTTGTGTACAACCTCATTTAGTAGGTACTATTGGTTTCCACTCTTTTAAGAAGCAATATACCTGAATATTACGTGGTTGACTAAAAATCACCCTCCTTATTCAGGACGGATAGACCGGCGAACCCGTTCAGTATCTATATATGGCTAGCCGAACGAATTCCCCGTGGTGCCAACTGGGAGGTTCAGATTAATCCCTTTCCAGACAATAGTTCGGCGGCAGTGTTCCAGGACGTGCTGGGTTTTCGCTTCGCAAGTATTCTCCCCTTGAAAAACCACAAAGCTCCGCTTAACAACACTTCGATGTGGCGAATGTGACTTACCACTAAATAAAGTCACTGCCACTTCACTTTCCGGATGATTTTCCGCACTTCAAGTACGTCATTCAATTCGAAGAGTTACTTTGATCGCTTTATACGATGGCGAACACAGCCAACAACATCACGAATTCAGTCACACTAACCAATTCATTCGCCATGTCCACTTACACATACGTGGTTGGCGGCATCCGGTTCCGGATTTGCCTGTCACTGTGACCACCACGGGGTAAGCCACAGGACGACTGCGCCCACGGAGGTATAATGGGTAGCTTGCGCTGCACCACCCACAGCTCCATCCACACACCCCATATCCATTGTAAACCCGAAGGAATAAGACCAGGAGGCATGTGGATGAGAGTCACGTTTCATTAACAGAGCCGACCCACACTCCTTCACAGGCGAGCACAAACACGCTGCATTTGGGGAATCAAGCGCACACAAGACGATGGCTGGACGGTAGTCCGCTCCACACTGAGTGCATGGAACCACTCTTTGAGCCTAGCACGGCCATGAGGGCCGTACACCCCGTTCCCCTCTAGCAACGTTTCACACTCTCCTGAAGCCTGTAATCGAGGTAGTGGGTAATAGACAGGTAGGCACCTTGTCAACATGCACATCGAGCACAGCCACACCGGGGATATCAAACAACAGCCAATCACTTGAAATGACAATATCCAATAATAGTTATCGAATAAAGCATAAGAGTGTACCGATTTAACTTGTCGCTAAGTGAGTCTGTGAAATAAATGCGTTATCAAAAAATCAGCGATATATTCAAGATGTCGGCAAAAGATCTTTTTAAAAATGCCACAAACGCGAAAATGTTAACGAATTTAATCACAATCTGCGTAAGCTTATTCAAACAGACATCTAAGTGACTTAACAGAGTAAGCATTCCAAAATATAGCTATATACTTGCAAAATCCTAATGACTATATTCACATGAAGAAAATCTCTCTATGAGCTATTTCAAGAGGGGTCCAAGTTATCCTTGTAAACGTATTTGTCTAATGTAAGATACCGAAAAGAGATATCTTTGCAATCCTGTGTCTTCAGATATCTAAATGATTTTACAAAGTAAGCATTTACAAAATATAGCAAACTAATCGCTTGGAATAAAGAAACTCAGCACCCAAGCACGCGATTATTACATCGAATGCAGCATACCTACTAACGCTGCGCCGGTTCTGCCTACGTTCTCAGCAGGACTCTTCATCGTAGACATTAAAAAGTGCAAAAATAAGCTTTATGACAAGATAGGAAACCCACCACCTGAAATAAGGAAACTCAGGATGCAAGCACGCGGTTATTAAATCGAATGCAGCGTGTCTACCAACGCTGCGCCGGTTGTGATTGGGTTCTTAACAGGACCTTTCGTCTTTTTGATGTTCGTTCTGAGTAGCCTCGCTCGTGACTAAATAGGCCTGTCTGACCCAGACACTCGCGATCGCATGTGCTACAACACCATGTGTTCGACGTGGATGGAGTAAATCCCTGTCACAGTTTAGCAATTGCGGAACTGACGCTCAGTGACTGGCTCTTAGCTCAAGTATCACAAAACAAAACACGTTAGACGCACAAAGTCAAAATTGTTTTCTAACCGACATGTTGTACAACGCATTGATCCACTATTCTAAAGCAAGCCAGTCAGTGAGCGGGTGATTGGGTTACTGACACACGGCAGCAGATACAGGCAACAAACAGGAAGGGCCCAGTACCTTGGATGCGAAGATGCCACATTCCTTCTCCCTTTAGTGTGGAGCACTTCAGCTAGCTTGGTATCGGTCGACTGGTCGGCGTATCCGAGTTGAACGGTCACATTGCTGAGCCTCCGGTTGGCCCGAGTTTTGAGAGTTCTGCACGGTTGTAAACTCAGTATGCTGGTTTGAGAACGCGTCATCTGGCAGAGTTGAAACGGAGCGATGGCGGACGTGATCCCTATGCCGAGTAACTACTCTGCCATTAGGTAAAGCCGTCTCCTGATGTTGTCCCATAACTGCGTAATTCTTCAGGCTGCCAGCTCGTTTCGTTGGGCAACTTGTCATAGACCAGTTCATTCTCGCAGAATCGGAAGCCTTCTGGTCGTACTCTGTCTTAGATTTATCTTACTTAGCCTCGACACGTAGCCTCTGGTAAGGAAACAAGATTCAGCCGTCATCAACCTCCGTCTGAACATCAACTCGCTTGGGCTCTAGCCAGTAGCTTCGTTTGACGTGGTGCGGTAACCAAAAAGAAATTTGTCCGACTTAGTTCGCAGGGGAGCAGACGCTTGTTTCCGTAACCCGTTATCGACTGTCTGGACAGCTCTTTCAGCCAAACCGTTTGAAGCCGCGTGGTAGGAGGCTGATTTCACGTGATGTATGCCGTTGATTTTGAAGAACTCTTGGAATTCTTGACTAATAAATACGGAACCGTTGTCTGTTACCAGCGTATATAGTATACCGAAGGAATTGAAACACGACCGCATGCAAGAAACACTCGTCTCACAAGTGTCATGAATAAGTGGACAAGTTCTATCTATTTCGGATAAGCATCAATCAAGAGAAACATTTTTCTATCCGACGGGCCAAAGTAGTCTGCATGTAGGCGTTCTCAATGTTTACTGGGCGATTTCCAAAAACTAAGTGATACAGAAGGGCCATTCTTCTGAGGGCTTTGACACACGTCGCAGTGTCGGATCAACTCTTCGATATCTCTGTCAATATTAGGCCAGCACACATAGGATCGTGCAAGTACCTTCATTCTCGTGATTCCTAGGTGCGTTTCGTGAAGTTCTTGTAAGACATTCTGCCCCCACCGTGGTGGTATGGTCGCTCTAGATACCCATGGCAGACACTCATGCTCGATACCAACCTCTGTGTGTCGGATAAAGTAAGGCATTAGTTGCGGTTCACAGCTGTTAGGCCATTTTTGAGAGACTAGACGCGACGCGTGTCGCTTCCGCACTTGCCGCTTCTTCTCCGCATGGCTGGGAGCTTTCACTCGCACCTAGTCAACTGCCTTCGTAATCAGATGGCGCCATGCGCGCCGATCAACCGCCTTCGATTCCCATAACGTGCAATCAAGATTAGAACGTGAGAGGCTCACTTTGATCATGTCCTGATAACGCAACTTCGATTTCCCCACATGCCGCTTCCCAATACTCAGCTGGCCATATAATAGTTGCTTCGGTATCCGCGTCGAATCCATACGGCTCACATGACCGAGACACCTCAAGTGTCTCATCATAAGTGCACAGTTCACTGCATATATTTCACTTCGACGCAACACTTCTGTGTCCGCAACTCTGTCCCGCCAACTGATGCGCAGAATCCGTCGCAGCTTTTCTTGATAAAACCGCTCGAGATATCTCACGTCTCGCCGGTACATTGTCCACGTTTTGCCGTCGTATGGAGGAACGGACAGCATCATGGATTTGTAGACCATCAGCTTCGTACCGACGGTAAGCTTGTGGTTGTTCCACACTCCTTATTCTAGCTTCCCGAATTCCTCCCCTACCTTAGAGACGCGGACACGAAGCTCACTGTGCAGCTGCTGGTCAGTCGACATCACACTCCCAAGGTAGCAGAAGCGGGAGGTGGTTTCGAATACGTCATCACCAATGCTGATTCGCGGCACTACTGAAGAATTCACCTGAAACAGACAGACAGTTTGGTTTGTGTTGATGGTGAGGCCGAATTCTGCCGCTGTCGAAGCCATAGCACTAGACATGTGCTGTAACTCATCCGCGCTGTGTACGAACAACGCACAGTCGTTAGCAAACAGCAACATACTGAGAGTTATCTCACCGACTGGGGTTCTCGCACCGAAACGACGGATGTTCAGCAACCCACCATCAATAGGGTGCTCCACACGAACACCGTAAGCACAAGCGGCATCAAAAGCGCAGGACATCATTGCGTGAAGATAACTATTAAAAGGGCAGGAGCTAAGACACAACTTTGCTTCACACTAGTGACAACTGCAAAGTCATCCGAGGTCTCTCCACTCAGCTGCACCCTCGCTCGCGTACCACTGTGCGGACATTCAATTAAACTACCAAACTTACTCGGACAACCAAACTTCCCCAACACCAACCACATTGGTTCGCATTTTAACCTTGTCAAATGCCCTGGTGAAATTAACAAAAGGCGAGTACAGCGGCTGATATCGTTCTCTTTACTTCTCCTGCAACTGACGTGCTGCTGACACCATATCGATGGTGCTTCAACCCGAACGGAATCCGCATTGCTCTTCCGCCACGTTAGGTTTCACGACCTGACTGACGAGGGGTTGAGCATGATTTGGGCACCCACCTTGCCTACTCAGCTCAGCAAGTTGATGCCACGATAATTCGTACAACATTGCTTGTTCCCTTTGCCCTTGTACAGTGGTAGCACAAGGGCATCGTTCAGCTCAGGAGGCACCTCCTCCTCAGTGCACACGCATTGCACCAAGTGGTGCAGCGCAGTCACCAACACGAGTCCACCGTGTTTTAGTATCTCTGTCGGGATCTCGTTGGTACCGGCACACTTGCCGTTTCGCAGCTGAGCAAGTGCTCTCTGCGTGTCATCCGGTATCAGCGTGTCCGCCAGACTCACCTTCATATCGTTCTGCTTGAGGCCGTTTAAAGTAGGCCAGTCTATCTCTGAACAGTTGTTTAAGTGACGGTCAAAATGATTTCGCGAGATCTGCATTATATCTGCCGTCTGTGTGCTGGCAGCCCCTGAGCTACCGTCGATGAGCGTCCTCTGCGACTCTGACCTCGGTCCATGCACCGCCTTTGAGGAGTCAGAAATTTCCTTGTGTTGGCGGCGTTCGTCGTAGCATTCCATCTGCTTCACCTTCTTTTTCCGCCATGCTTTTTTATGCGACGGAGCTCACGAGTCACTCGTCTTCGAAGTTTGCGGAAGTGACTATACTTCCCCAAGTCACTGGGGTCTGCCACATGTGCAGCAAATGCTGCATGATTCCCTCACACCAATGCGCCAATCGTCGCATTGTTCTCAGTGAACCACTCAGACCGCTTACAGCTTGCGCGCTGGATGGTCTGCTTGGCAGCAGCTGTTACCCGGTCGCGAATATGGTGCCACAGGTCGCCCACTGTGGCTATGCATTCCACATCACACAGGCGTGCAGCCATCGCCTTCTCCAGCTCAATACGTCTCGTCGCAGTACCGAGATAGAGAATGTTAACTTTGCGGCAGTTCACGGCAGGAGTGCAATACATCGATTTACGAAAATATATGTACAGTTTGGTCCGCACCAATTTGTGCTCGGTGCCACACTCAGCTCCACGCAGTACAGGTGTCATGCGCACTTCACGCATATCACGCTGACGTACGATGACATAGTCGATCAGGTGAGCGTGACCACACCGTTGGTGAGTCCAAGTTGCGATATCACTCGCACTCAGTGCACACGGAGAGTTCGTGGTCATCAAAATCGTGAGTGGCATGCAGTGACAGCAGCCTGTCACCGTTCGCATTCGCTGAACCAATGCCATGCGAACCGATGACATCTGTCCACACCGATGCATCACGCCCAACGCGCGCGTTGACATTCCCCAGCAGAAATAGTCGGTCGATCCTCGCTAAAGACTGTATCAGGGGGAATAGCTGAGTGTAGAATCGATCAGGCGTGTCATCAGGATTACACATTGTCGAACCGTACGATCTGATACAATTGACAAATTTACCTCTTCCGAGTCGTAGGCGAGCAGTCATCAGTCGCGCGCTGATGGCGGTTGGTTTACTCACCAGCTGGCCATTTATGCGATAGCATAGTGCATATCTGACCCAATTTTCGCGTAGTGCTGATATGGCCGTTTCCCACCCAGTAGATGGCCAGCGACAGCTTCATGCATCTTACCTTGCTCAACGAGCTGGGTCTCACAGAGCGCCGCAATATCGATGTTGTAGCGCGCGAGTTCCATCGCGACCAGTGCAGTGGACCGCTCGGAATGTTCACTCGCGTTCCGCTCCAGTAGTGGGCGCACGCTCCAGCACCCGATGTTGGGGGCTTTGCGCGCAGGCATACGATTACATTGGTGGGGAATCGCACGCGTGCTTGCGGTTGTGCTTCGGTGGTTTGCTTTACGGACTCCGCCCGGATCCTTTGGTTCAGTATCCTGCCCCACACTGCAGTGAGCGGTATGAAGGTTTGCTTTAGGTACTTTGCCCTGAGCCTTGGACTCAATAGCCTGACCCACAATGCAGTGGGGAGCATATCTAGCTCAGGAATGTGATTGCGGAGACATATTGGGTCTGCTTTAGGTCCGTCACACGCAGCATTGTAAGTTCTGGAACAATTCATATGTTTTGCGACCGTAGTAAGAAACCCGCCTGCGATCACGGCCAGTCGAAGGAGGGTTTTGGCAGGTTTGCACCAATTTGACCACGGGCTGCCTTCCTTGAGGCGGACAGTAGCAAACCATTGAACATCCGGATGTGCCCTCACACCGCCAGAGACAATGCGTGGTGCTCGTGCTCTACGCCATTCGAGCGGTGAGCTTATAACGCGTGGACCTGTCTCTCATGATTTGGTTTTACAGGAAGAGCGACATCGACCACTTCCTAATCTCCGAATACCATGGGGTTTGGACTATGATACTGGCGGTGCACCCACACTTGTCCTCAGCCAGTCTTCGATTAAATGTACACCCGAAAGGCAACGGATCTAACGCATAGTCAGTTCGACTGACTAATGCGGATTGGTGTCCTGGGTCTTATCAGGAAGAAAGGCGTAACCCAACTCCCACCCAGCGGTCGCCACGAGGAGGCATCCAAGACAAGTGCCCGTGGCACAACAGTAGTAGCAGTGGGTAGACCATCTGGCAGGATCTAGCCATCGTAAGCCTCAGCGCTCCATTGGCTCTCCCGTCACCTACACATACACTTGGTTGACGGCATCCGGTTTCGGATTTGCCTGTCACTGTGGTCAGCCACAGGACGCCTGCGCCTACAGAGGGACCATGGATGGCTTGCACTGCACCACCCGCAGCTCCATTCACACACCCCATATCCAGTGTATACCCGAAAGAATAAGACCGGGAGGCACGCGGATGGGAGCCACGTTTCATCAACGGAGCCGGCTCACACTCCTTCACAAACAAACACAACATATACATACAAATCCAGTATGTTCCTGGTTAACTTACGACATTTTTGTGTTTCTATTATTATGATCATGCCTTTGCAGGTGTGCCTCAGATTTTCGTGAATAAAACATTTATTTAAGATGTTAGTCTATCAGTCGAATGGACATGCCATCCTAAGGTCCAGACTCGTCGCGATGGCAATGGGGACCTGACTAGGACGCGCACCTATGACACTATACGGTTTCAGACAACTAGTCAATGTATGAAAATAACATGGGATTGGCTAACCAACCTCCTTACAATTTATACTGCTCTGTGTCACAATCCATCTCACTCTGCGTGTTACGAAACATCACATGTTTCACCCGGTCAATGCGGTTTGGAGACGGCAGCAGATCGCTACAAGTATTTGTCACCTACCATCCAAACTGCCAGCTCTAAAAGAAATCGCGACATGAACCTCGCGAATTGCAGTCTGAAGACGAGACAGATTGTGGCACGTAGTGTAGTAGCCAGTAAATTATCTTCCTGATGCCACGTCAAATGTTAATTCATCGGGTCTTAAACAGTCTTAGATCCGTCAAACAAACATGGCCATACCCAGTATGCAGTGGACGGGCGTGCGTAGTACGTACGCGAGCCAACGTGATTTACCCAATATTGTTTGCTGATCTGGCCACCATCATCCAGTGTTTACCTACGCACCCGATCAGGTTGAATGTACAGGGCTATCCCATACGAGCGATGCTGTGTAAACAATGAAGATCAGAAGATCAACGGCGCTAGTGATCCATGGACCTAAAGAGCCACTTCTCACTGCAACAAGGTTGGGAGGATGCTAGATTTCCCAAGAATTACACTTGCATTGACCAGACTATAGATTTATTATTGGATGCTATTTTGCTTTTTAGACGGCACGCACCAATTCGCTCCTGCTTCAGACAAGCATTGTGATTGATCTTGCAAAATATCCAAACACTCACTGGTTTTTTTTTCTTGATTTGTGGCTGCCTTGCTACCATAATAGGTCTCATTCTAAGGTCTTATTTTCTTCCTTTTTGCTCTCGGGGCTATTGTGACTGGGAGCCGAATTTTGTGTCCATCCGTGATCTTAGTTGTGATTTTTTGTGAGCTTTCTGTTCTTGTGTGTGTTCAGTCGGGATTCCAATAATAGTGGTTAGATCGTAACAAGTAGAGTAGAATATTAGTTACCGGGGATGTCTTACGAAAGGCTTATGATACCAAGAGAAACCCACCTATCATGATACTTGGTCCTCTTCCACAGGTACGCGATCCTCTCTCATTTCAATACAGGTAGTTGTGGCTCTGGGCGATTACATGGACGTCACGTGCCACGCATGTATTGGCGGCACCCAGGTATCAGTGGACATCGAACGTCTGCAAATGGGCCAACAGATCGTAGTGGGAACTCCTGGACGTGTACTGGATATGATTAACCGTCGTTGTCTCCGCACTGATGCCCTTCGGATTTTCGTCTTAGATGAAGCAGATGAGATGCTCAGTCTTGGTTTCAAAGACCAAATTCAAGAAATATTCCGTTGTCTCAACCCTAGCGTCCAGGTGCGATTGTTTTTCGGACTTGTTCCTCACCTGCATTCACTGTATTCTGTGCTGTTATTCTTCACCTTTAATCGTACCGCTATTTTTTGCAATGGAAATGCATATCGGAATCTCAAAGACCTTAGATATGGTTACCTTCCCTAGCTGTTCTCACTGTACTCATGTCAGTGAACGCCACACTTAATCATCGAACCCTATTTCTTGTGTATCAACTTTTGTGATCTTTCCCTGATTACATTTTAAGGTAATCGGTTTTTATCACCCATACCAGAATCATACGGCGAATTTCCACACTTCCAAATATTAGGGATCACGACGGAGCTCGCCACGCTCGGTTCGGCTATGCCGTGGCCCAGTGGTAAAATGATTTTTATGTACTCATGAGTAGGGGATATTTGATGTAATTAAGTGAGGTTCTTCGCAGCCAGTTTCCAAATCACATAGTCGTCCACGTGCCCGGAAAAGCACTAGACTGCAGTTTCGGCCTGTTGGGCATCATCAGTAGTGCGCATCCATCGGATCCGTCAGGATTCGAACCCATGACCACCAGCTGTCCCCGTGGCCCAGTGGCATAAGCTGCTGATTGGCGGTTCAAGCCGCTGGTGGTCATGGGTTCGAATCCTGATGGATCCGATGGATGCGCACTACTGATGATGCCCAACAGACTGAAACTGCAGTCTAGTGCTTTTCCGGGCACATGGACGACTATGTGATTTGGAAACTGGCTGCGAAGAACCTCACTTAATTACATCAATTATCACCTGCTCATGAGTACATCGAAATATACCTGCCCTGACAGTTTCTAAATGCTATGTCGTACCTAGCTACTGTTAGTGGACGTCGTGTCTTTCGGGGCCAACCCTGTGCTCTGCAACGTTCGTAACTTGCATGGCAGTGGAGGATAAGACGCGCTATATCGCAGTTAGCTTGTAAATCACGACAATCCGAAGCTGTCCCCCGTGGCCCAGTGGCATAAGCTGCTGACTGGCGGTTCAAGCCGCTGGTGATCATGGGTTCGAATCCTGATGGATCCGATGGATGCGCACTACTGATGATGCCCAACAGACTGAAACTGCAGTCTAATGCTTTTCCGGGCACGTGGACGACTATGTGGTTTGGAAACTGGCTGCGAAGAACCTCACTTAAAATGATTTCTGTTTGCACGTAATGGATCTAACGCCGGTTTGCATTAATATGCTTGGATCAGTTTCCTTTCGAAGTGACTACCTTTTGCTTTCAATCACCCTTAAGCTTTGCAAGAGACTGAGTTGTGAGTCTGTCCCTCCCCATCCCACTTATCTTTCCCCTCTAACTGCGATTTCTTGAAGCATAATGTTACTAAACAGTACGTTATCTGTTTTTCTTTTTCTATTCCGTCAAGCTTAGTATCTCGCTTTTTTATATAAAGTTGAAGTGTTTTTCTCACCTTCAGCTAATGCCTCATGATGACGAGGGTTTGCAAAAAATCAACGAACAAAAGACTCGGCTGACATAACTTTAAGGTTAAGTGGGTTAGAAGGGCACTATGCCAACTGATAGCGGAGGTATTTATTGTGGGGTATGCCTTGCACCCTCGAAATGCAGTCTTTCTCCAAGAATGTCTTGGACCCGACTTCTGTGCTGATCATTGGTGGGTATTAACTAGCTGTCGTTCAGAAGTTAAAGTATACTTAAAGCTTGAAACGGTTTTGCTCAACTTCGCCACTTTTGGTGCTGGCGCGACGTCACTTGCTTTGAAGGGTGGAGTCTACACTGCAACAGTCCATTCAACCCTACTATGCAGTTGTGACACCTGACCCATCAAGTCGACAGATATGAAGAGGCTGGCCATGTTCGACCATCGCTGCCTTAGCAGCTTAGCTCATGTCTGGTGGGAGCACAGCGTGAGCAACGAATCCCTTCGGCGTCGTGTATTTGGTGCAGGAGGAGCGAGTGAACTGTGCAGCACCATTATATCACGTACCAGTCACCGATGGCTGGGCCACTTGTTGCGCATGCCAGCCCACCGACTCCGGTCGGGTGCCTTGTTTGCGCTACCGGGGACTGGATGAAAGAGAAGGGGGGAGACTAAGCAGTGACTCGGTCAAGAGGAATGAGAACCCTCATTTCGAAGCTGGGGTCAGTTGGTGTCTTCCAACTGCTAGCCTGCGATTTCAAAGACAATGAATAGCTATGGTTAGGTTCACTTGTTGACGTAGCTAGGAGCCGGCCCCAATGGCGTTCATGTTGTGAATTACTTGGGCAACCCCCTCCACCTTATTCCCTATTCAACCACGTTCTCACACCCGTAATGTGATATTAACCATTATTTTACTTTTTTGGTTTTTATGTACTCTACTATTTTGAATTTCGCTCTTTACATACTGTAAGGTACCGATTATAAGCCCGTCCACGAACAGTCCGACATCAATTCAGGGTGAAGAATTCTTTTCGGTAACTCTCATCAGACCCAAACGTTTACATAACAGTGATTGTGGAGATAGCGTCAACTGGGGCTGGGATTGACTTCTTGACTGTTTGAATGACCAAAATCGATAACTTGAGACAGAGATAGAGATGGTAGACCAAGTAAACTAAATAAACATGTGTACACAAGGCTCAATAGTATAATGTAATTAAGTAGGTAAGATAACAGCCAAATAACTAGGTAACGGTGTCCGTTGGCCAAGGTAGTAATATCGGCCGTATACATCGTTTTTGGACACATAATTCCGGCTTTAGATGGTAAATGTACATAGCCTCGGCGATGGATAAGAGCTGTTTGCGGAATCCTTGGGAGAAGTGTTCAGGTAATGAGTAAATGACTTTGAAGTCATTCTCTGAAGCTGTATGGCCACACTCAAGGAGGTGCGACATGATAGAGCTGTCTGAAGACCTCATTTCGCCTCTGTAAAACCATGCCGGGATGTGTTCACGAACCCTCTGAGATAGGCGTCTCGTCGTGCGACCCACGTATCGTGCACCACAGGAGCACGAGTACTGATAAATGATCATTGAACGGGTCAACGGCGGTAGTCTATCCTTAAAGGGTTTCGTAAGCAACGGCTTGTTGTGAAAAACGATTCTCAGCCGGGCCGCGAAATAAGTTTTCTCGATAGCCGCTTTCATGCGTCTGGATAAAATATCAGCTGCAGAATCGCCCTTAAAGGGTATATGTATGAAAAGCTCTTTCTTAGGAGCAATGCTCCTAGGTGGCTTTCGATTGCGTTCCTTCAAATGTTTCATGATAAATTTATCCGGATAGCCATTTTCCCTGAGGGCGTCGCTGATTCTCTGTAGTTCTTCGTTGACGGTATCCGGTGTACAAATACTGCGCGCCCTGAAGGCGAGAGATCTGATTAAACTCCGCTTGTGCTGTAGTGGTACTGCGCTGTGGAAGTTAGTGTACTGCCCAGTTCATGTGTGCTTTCTGTGTACCTTTCTGCTGCATGATCCATCTGAGTTACGGATAACTTCTACATCCAAGAAAGGTAACCGGTTTCCGAGTTCGTGTTCACAAGTGAAATGGAGATTCTTGTGTGCGTCATTGAAAGCTTTCAGCAACTGATCCGCATGCTTTTCGGATTTGCAAAGTACGAAGGTGTCATCCACATACCGTACATACATTTCGCTTTCATGGATGTGCGTTGCAAGTGGGCCATGTTTCAATTTCGCCATGAATGTATCAGCCAGCAGCGGCCCCAAAGGAGATCCCATGGCCACTCCGTCAATCTGACGGTATACTTCACCATTGAAAGTGAACTGAACATTTAACATGCAACGAAGTAACACCTCCTTTAGCAAAGTCTCCGGAAAAGTTGTGTATATGGGCAGTTGCCGAGCAAGCTCGCATACGGCCGATACTACTACCTTGGCCAACGGACACCGTTACCTAGTTATTTGGCTGTCATCTTACCTACTTAATTACATTGTACTATTGAGCCTTGTGTACACACGTTTATTTAGTTTACTTGGTCTACCATCTCCATCTCTGTCTCAAGTTATCGATTTTGATCATTCAAACAGTCAAGAAGTCAATCCCAGCCCCAGTTGACGCTATCTCCACAATCACTGTTATGTAAACGTTTGGGTCTGATGAGAGTTACCGAAAAGAATTCTTCACCCTGAAATGATTTCTGATATTGATTCATATTAATGAAATGGGAATATTTGTTTTGCTGAAGATCAGCATTGCCCGTGATTCATTGAAACAGTCCGACAATCGAATGGTGTAATATCAAAGTTGTCCAAATTCTTAAACTGCTATATTAGCCGAACCCCAAAAATGAACAAAAAAGAAATTTTTTCGCACGATTTTGTCGACATCATTCCCTGTTCTCCCTTGAGTGTGTTTCTGCAGAACTACTATTGGCCAGTTCTGGTGACTGTAATATCTAAACGCTTTCGACTTGTAACCCACAATAACCATAGCGTGACGTCGCATGTGGCTCCTCAAACTCCCGTATGCAATACTGCCCGTCACTGGCGAGCGGTAGTAAGGGGAGATGGGGACACGTGTGCAGGGAATTCTGGGTGGATTTTGTAATTAACATTTTTCAAACTGCGTGTAATCTTAATCTAATGATAAACTATATATAATGATAAATTGTCAAAAATTTATCGGTCTATGTTCTCTAACGCACGGCACTTTAGCTAAAGTGTGTTTCTTGCCTTCAGCTGATGTGTTATGATGATACTTGTTGAGGCGGCCGGTAGCCAATTTCGGCAACAAATAATGACCTACTGAATAACGCTTGTTTCCTCAATACTGAATGGAATGCGAGGTTTTCTTAGAATAACTTCTCTCTTTCTCTTCAACTCGTAAGCCTCTTGTTGATCGTTACCGGCCTTTGTGTATTTGTACACATTTACTGACTCGTTTCAGCTAATCATTTGTGTTTCACACCCATCACATACTACCCCCAACACACAAATGCAGCAAATCGTATCACTGTATGCAACATCACCTTACCGACAATAATAATAATAATAACAATAATAAGAACAAAAACCGCAGCAGCAAACGACTGGGATGGAATTACAAGGCGGTTGAAAGCGCTAAACAGGAATACTCGGAAGATACTTGGAACAGATCGAGTAGTCATGAGTTCAGAGGGGTTTGGAAACAATCGGTTGGTATACTATACCAACCGATTGTTTCCAAACCTCTCTGAACTCAACGCTAAACAGAAACTTTTGATGAAAGGACGCGGGTGGTCAGAAGGCCACCGCTCTGTTTGCTGCGAGGCTGACAGGGAGTCAAGATCATCATCATCAACAGCAGTACATAAGCCATCTGAACTGATGCTTCGCTGCCATACAACCATGAGGACCTATGAAATAAAGAATAAGAAGAGGGAGAGAAGGGGGACTTACTGAATAATCTTAATGCCCTAAGCAAACATTCAGGGTCAAGACGCCTACGCCTTGTGTAGACAACATACCGTCACAAACAGCTGGCTATCGTGCAAAGATAAGGCGGCATCGGCGAGACAGCTTCCTTGCGACTTTCACTGCCCCGCGTCATAATCAGCCATTACCGCGCAGATAACTCAGCACCAAGCACACTTTAAACAGACAATCCGATTAGGAAACGGCAGCAGACGCGCCACTGGTGTCGGTTGCCAGCCATGTCCTGTAAAGTCTCGAGCCAAGCACAAGGTGAGTCACGTGGACTCCAACCCGGAAAACGAGACGGACCAACGGAACCTAGTTTGGTAGTCAGTGACTTCTTTTCCCGCTGCCAAGTCAACTTCTGTCCACCTCGAGCCTTGCGCCATCCTACACCTGGTAGACTGAACAAGCCCCTCCTACGTAAGCGGTGACCAGGCGTACGTAGCACGTGCTCGAGCCAGCGCAACTTATTCAGTGCTATCTGTTGTTCTAGGGAGTTAGCATGATTATCACCACCTAGTACTCGCCTGCGCACATAATCGTTGCGGACACGCTGGGGCCATCCGATACCAGAAGTACTTCGCAAACAACGATGATCAAAGACTTGAAGGCGCCTCAGATCTTCATACCGAAGGAGCCAAGTTTCACTACCATAGAGCAGAACGGCCCTCACTGTTGCCTTATATCCACAGCCTTTCAGACAGAGGGAAACTCGCTTCTGTCGCCAAAGATGTCGCAGGTTCAAGAAGGCAGGTTTGACCTTTGCAATGCGTGAGCTCACGTCAGTTTCTATGCGCCCATCGTTGCTGATGCAGCTGCCAAGATAAGTGAATTGGTCTATCACTTCGAGTTCCTCGTTAGCAAGTGTCAAGGGATCATCAAGTGGCTGGTACTCATTCAGCAAAACCTCGCACTTCGAAGGTGCGAAATGCATACTAAATAATGGGACCACTCTGGATAGGCTATTCAGGGTTGATTGTGCCGCCGCAAAATCGTCGAAAAGCAAGACGATATCGTCCGCAAAATCAAGAACAACTATTCTTTCACCAGGTAGCACTTCAACGCCTACATCGTGAGGTTCCGCAAGGGAACACTTCATGATAGAATCCACGACGAAATTGAACAGGAATGGGAAAATCGAACAACCCTGACGAACGCTACTTGTAGTCGGAAAGCTATCCGACAGGCCACCGTAGACCATAACGCAGCCTGTATCGTTCGAGTATTGAGCACGAAGGATGTTTTCGTATTTCGTGGGAACACATTTTCGCGCAAGTAATTCGAACAGAATCGATCGATCGACTGAATCGAACGCACTCTTGAAATCGAGGAACACAGCTATGGTTGGTCTGCGGTATGCGTGGCGCTGCTCTAGCACCTTTCGCAAAGTGAATATATGGTCTATACAGCCACGTCCTGGGCGAAAACCGGCCTGCTCTTCCCTAATCCGAGATTTCCGTTCTGCAGTGAGGCGACGAAGAAGAATCGAAGCAAGTAATTTTGTCACAACTGGCGTTAGGCTAATACCCCTGCGGTTAAAACAGTCTGTGCGACTTCCTTTCTTGGATAATGCCACTATAATCCATTCACTCCAGTTAGCCGGGGCATTTCCTTCCAGACACGTTCGATCAGTACTTTGCAGAGGACCTCACCTCCATCCTTAAATAGTGCAGGTGGTAGGGAATCCGGGCCAGCGGAACGAAAACGATTGTAGGCTGTGATCGCGTTTCGGACCTCGGCCTCACCTTATAGGAGGAGGTCCGGGAACAGGGAGTCAGCTAAACCGATCTTGAAACTGTTCTGCCCAACGAGCCATAGAGCGTTCCTTATTGTGTATCAATGCACCCGCACTGTCTGATTGTCTCACTGACGCCTGGTTTTCTGGGACCAGTGTCGTTCATACCTGTCTCTTCTTGGCTTGCAAGGAACTATCAATACGTTTATCACAAAATGAAGTTTCTGTGGAGCCATGCCAGATATTCCTAGCCATATACAACAGATGACTATCGTGGCCGCCTACATTTTGTCGATTCTGTTGACAGAAGACGTCTCACTATATGTTTGGATGTTGCGATTTTGCAACTTATAGATTAACTATATGTCATCGTCCTTCACCTAGCTATACTGGGCTTTTCCTAACTGCCTATTTTTAAGATCTGACCTTCAGTTAAACACCGTCAATGCCGCTGTAAGACAGGTTCGTGATCTTTGTCTATTTATCTGAACGACCTCAACTGTCTGTGGCAACACGTTTACAAACTTCCATCCCATGCTTTCGACTTTTTCTTGCTATTCACTGCTGGATGTCTCGCCGCCCCCTGTAATCTATCCACTGAATCTGATTTTAGTTACACAATCCAATTCTTGACCATTATTTGGAGAATTCCGAAACGCATCCAACCACCTACTCTTAAGTAGTCGCTATGGATATACTAATGATGATATACAACCTCGTTTTCCGCTTTCCATTACAACCACCTACTTTTGAGAATCACATCATCCCTGAAACTATGACCATTTGTTGGTACAGTGTGACTTAGCGAGTCGGTTTTTGGGAACGCGGTTCCCAGATCACAGTCTTGTTTTCAAAGACGCGCTGAACTTTAAGGCCTTCTAATCTTTACGTATCGTCTTCTAGCTTCATCTCAGGATTTTTTGTTTTGACGTTTTTATGCACGTTTTCTATGTGTTTTGTTCCCCACTGATTTATATGTTCCTCTGATTTGCAATTATCATCCTTCATTCGCTTGCCGAATCAGTGATAGATTAATGTCTTCTCGTATAATTAATCAAATCTTAGACGATTCGGTTCCATTCTTGGTGACATTATATGTCGACAGATTGTGAATCCGTAATCGAATTTTTGCAGCTTGGATGTACGCATTTCACTTCATATATTCGTGTCTTTTTAGGTGCTCTTACTCTCCGCCACAATGCCAGATGAAGTGCTCGAGGTGGCTAAGCATTTTATGGTTGATCCGGTACGCATTCTGGTGAAACAGGAAGAGCTCACTCTTGAGGGCATTCGCCAGTTTTACGTTAACGTCGAACAGGAAGAATGGAAATTCGAAACATTATGCGACCTTTATCAAACCATTGCAATAACCCAGGCGGTTATCTTCTGCAACACACGGCGAAAAGTGGATTGGCTGACGCAAGAATTGACTGATCGTGATTTTATTGTCTCAGCGATGGTATGTGAAATTCTGTTGCGGGCACCTGTGTCACATTTAAATCCTTATTGAGCTGGGTGGGCGTACTTACACTCTTCGTACCAGTGATGGCTTACATACGTTTGGGCATTGGCTGTGGTTGTTTCCGCCCAGTGTGTATCCTCGTCCTTTTGAACTGAGTTCCTAGTGGTGGGATGAAGCTATCTTCAGGTCGAGCGCATTTTCTTTGCATCGCCATGCACGCCTCATCTCGTTATTTACTAACCTCTGCTTTTGTTTAGCACGGCGATATGGAACAACCCGAAAGAGACAATATCATGACGGCTTTTCGCACTGGTTCCAGTCGTGTTTTGATCACCACAGACCTATTGGCTCGTGGCATTGACGTACAGCAGGTATCACTGGTGATCAATTTTGATTTACCCACCACGCTTGAGAGTTACATCCATCGGTAAGTTTGTGTTTTCGCTACCTTTTTATGGAACATGCATGTTAGTGCCGGATTGGTTGTCTCAGTGCTTGCACAGCATTTTGCAGCTAACTCCCCAAAGGTCTACACTTGCTTATTTTTCACCATTCGATAAACTTGCTTGTCAGCCTATCCCATAGTGGGCTTAATTTTTTTAGGGCTGCAGCTTTTTATTAGTTTTTCACCCAGAAGTACCATGTTCCGGTTATTTGTCACAGGACAGTGTTTTCTCCATGTGCGTGTGTGTGTTATGTGTGACTGCTAGATTGAGTTGCCTTATTTATCGCCAGTTTGTTTAGCATACCGGTTGTGTTACCACAACAAACTCCCCCATTCTCAACGCATTCTTTACGAGAACCTTCACACATACCATGATGCTGATCTCTTACAGTTTAGTCGGTAAAGTGAACCTCATTTAGTGTTCGCCACTTGGCAGCGTTATCCATTTTGTCTATGAAAGGACCAGTCACATGCTCCATGCTCCATGCTCCCTGTGTACCTAATTTTTGTCATTATGATAAAGAATGGAGGTCTGCGACAGTTCGTTCCTATCTGCCCGTCGATTGAGTTCAGTGGAAGCAGACAACAAAATATAAGAAGGCACCATGTTCTTGGATGGTGCCTGCTAACATAGACGATTACTTTCAGTCTTTCTACTAGGTGCAACGCAGGCATCGTGGTCCTCAGGGTGGCGAATCGTCAAGACGCTACGTTCTGGTGTACAGTCTTAACAACTTTGGAAGTGAGGACTAGTATTATCCACTAAACGATTCGTCATCTTACAGAAGTGATTTGTGAACTAATGTCTGCACTTCCTGTGTATTCTGTTGTTTCGCGGTTAGCAAACCGGTGCTCGGAATTACATATCGATTATCTGGGTCTCTGGAAAAACTTACTGTTGCGGTGAGAAGGACCCATAGCTTCACGTTACGGTACTTTAAATGAAAGGTCACTATTTATCTGAGAGATGCTTTTGGCGAATGGTTCGCTATGTAATCAAAAACATCTAACTGAGTAACTCGTAGGGGGCTCCACGCTGCATGTCGCATCGATTTCTCATCAGTTTGAGTGAATCACGGTGTATGCTGAGTTTCAGCAGGCCAAATATTCCTATTTCTTCGTTCATAATAAAACCAAAAATGGAATTATGAGTGTAGAATTCTTTTCGGGTAAAAGCTCAGCAGACCCATAAGTTTATATGGTGGATTAGGTGTGGAACTGCCGTAAAAAGCTAAATATTGATCACACGCAGTTTGAACGATAGATTCGATAATAATCGCTCGAAAAGTTAAACTATTAAAATGATACTCAGATAGTTAAGTCACAGGGATCGTTGGAAAAGGTAACAAAATGGGCCGCACATATTTCTTTTGAACGCACAACTCAGGTTTCAAGTGGTGACAGTTACTTTTCGGCACCTCCGATCGCCTAGTTTAAAGCAAGCCGGAGGACGCATAAATTCGAGCTTAGTCAACTTGTGTGCTGCAGATTATTGAACTAACTACTGGGTGCTGTCGAGGTATGCTGACGCTTTTCGGGGCTTGACGGATGCTGTGGTTGAACTGCACTCAAACTATGAACTGATCGTCCTCCTTCGGTTTTTATATACCGGCCTCTTAATTGTGTCCAGTCTTGTTATATCTGCCTTAACCTGGCCACGTGAACATCTTCTGAAAACTAGAATTTTATCTAGGGATAATCGGCTTATGTTTCCGAAGTGAAACTGTTCTATATCGTTATTTTCATGAGTAAAAATACTCTAACTGTGCTTTACCTACTCTTCTCTCATTTCTTTGATCTCACGAAGCATTGGCCGTGGCGGTCGTTTTGGACGGAAGGGCGTCGCCATTAACTTCGTCACTCTGTCAGATCAGCGTATGCTAAAGGAATTGGAATCATTCTACAGCACGAAGATAACGGAGTTACCTATGGACGTTGCAAATCTTTTTTGAATCCGTTCTTGATGGTTCCTTTCATCCTCCAACCGCAATGTGGATCTCTTGGGAATACTCATGTGGTCTAATCCTCGAAAATGCATTTATCATCCACACCCCTACAAGTTGGTTTGTGCCTTCAATGCAGCGATGTTGGCATTATTTTCTGTTCCTTTACTCCCTCCGTTTTAACCTCCTGTCCCATAGTTTACACCATGTCCCTACTTGTTACTCATTTCCGTCCCAGTGACGTACTTTCAACTGACGTGCTGCAAACTCCCTACTATCCCTGTTACTTCACGACCCATCGAAAGTGTTACTTGTGAGTATAAGCCACCTTCCATTGGTGCTGTATCTGAGTGTCAGCTGTGACTAAACCGATACCCCTGTCTAATAATTTGTCATTGATCCTGTTTGCTGACTTCTAATCACATGTGATTCCGATGTGATTATTTTTCCCTTCATCGTACTCATCACCCTCTTCCACTTCATCAAACGGACGTGAACTGGAATATCTGGTATGGCTAGTAGCGTTCCGAACGCTGCAGTAGCCAGCGCACACTTATTTGGCTGACAGTACGAACTCGGATTCACTAGAGCGACTAGAACTCGACGATCATCTCGATGTGCTCAGAGCATGTGTCATGTATTTCCTGATGAGAAGTGATCGGTTTTGATAATGGGTCTGTGTCATTCTTATTTTGCGTTTCGTTGCGCATACCCATTTCAGAAATCAAGGACGGATCGTTCAAACTATCTTATATAGGTTAAACTGGCCAGTGTAATCGGCCCAGTGATATAGTTTACATACTGCAACCTCCAGTGAAGTGAGATGTAGGTCCGAACTGATATCTTTCTGTTTCGTTCTACATTTCTGTTTCTCCCCGGTGCCTTATCTTTCGGATGGATCAAGCTTACGATGCGTTTACAGCCGCATACCGAACTAACTAATCAGTCACTCTTTACGAAATACTCTCTGCGGCTCTCTTAGGCTCGCGTTTCCTCCGCTAGTGTGCACACTCGATCCTTTTGGAAGTCCGACGACTCATCAAGTTGCCATTTCCATCACGAGCTCGGCCGGCTTTAAAATCCAACATACTCGCGTTTAGTCTTATCGTCAAACAGTATGCACACTGTCTCATTGTAATAACCAGTGGCTGTAACTTTATTATGGTAGGTGAAGGCGTCCGGACCTATGGTCACATTCCGTCCCTCGCTGGTTGCGCTGGCTATTCATCTTAGTCCCTGGCGAGTTTGCACAAGTCGAACAGACTGCCAGTTATCGGTTGTAATTTAACCGAATAGCGGTAGCAATTAACGTGCGAAAGAATCACTTTCCATATGGCGCCAGCTCAATTGCACTGACAAGGCATACTTCAAACATATAGGCACACTCCAGCACTTCAATAGTCGTTGTCGACAAGGAGATCAATAAGTACACCTCTGTTTCTCTGGTCACACCGATGTGTTCTCAACTTCAACAGCATATCGGTTGCCCCGTGCTCAAGCTGCATTCGGGATTCATTCATATATACCCTTCTTCTTAGGTTTCCGCTTTTTCGCGCGTACTATGGATCTGGCAATGACTTCCATTTTCTTGGGGACCGCTTACATTTCGTTCGATTGTGGGAGAATCTTTCTTTTCACGAGTTCTCCGAAGCATTCCGTTCTAATCTAACATCTGTTTACCCCCTGTCAATATAATCTTGTCATGGTTTGATCAGAGCTCCCCACAAATTCTTTACAAGTGAGGTGCACCACGGTTTCCCTGCCCCTGCTGGAAATGATGTGTGGGTATGGAATTTCTGACAGGTGACTCATTGACCAGCTCTGATCCTGCGGGCGCTGTATTAGTGTTGAAGCAGGAAGCTTTCCTAAGTGCTTCTGGTTGACTGACTCAACGTCACACTGTAAGAGCCCGAGGTGCGGACGAAATTGTTAAGATGGGCTATGGGATTCCATGATCCGCTATCAAATATTTCATGTCGGCATGCGTACCAGTGGTCGCCCGTTGATCCGGGATCCTTGTTACTTCAATCCAACGCGTAATGTGCCCCATCATCAACAAGATGTATTGGTTGCTCCGTCTGGTCAATGGAAACGGTCCCATCACGTCGATTGACCATAGTCCACCAATTTCCGATACCAGAAGCGACAGCATTGGCTGTTGTGCTCCTCGGCAGTCGGATTTCAAGAGCTGACATTTCTTGCACGAAAGCACGCATCTCTTGATGTTCTTTTTCATGCCTGTCCAATAGGCGCGTTGACTCAGCAGATCGTAGGTCCTGGCGCAACTGGTGTGCGCCATCTCTTGCCAAGAAATCACCAGCTTACACTTTAATTTCGTAGAAACAACCGGGACCGAAGTGTTACTACCTCCTGGTATCCACATCAGGGTTCCAGCTTCATTTACTCGTAGCTTTTCCAGATTTTTCGCAAACGGTCCGAGCTGCTTGTGTTGGCTTCTGTTTAGGACTGATTGAGCGGTTATTCGTACAGTGTGATCACTTTGCGCGAGTTTGTCACCATGTTGTTCGGCCACCAACTGTCCCGGATTCTGCTCAAGCAGTATACTATTAATACGGAAAGCCACACTCAGCAGGTCATCTTCGTTCATCATGCGTGGCAACAATCTGCATTTTGCTTCTGCTTCTCCAGCACATGTTTTATTGTGAAATCATCTTCCTGTAGACGCAGCGCCCATCACACTAGCTTTCCCCTAGCGTCTTTGTTAGACTTAATCCATTCCAAAGGCCTGTTATCTGTTTCGACTTGTAGTCGCTGACGTAGCAGATATAGCTGCCATTTGTCCAACGCCCAGAGGATTGCGAGGCATACCATCTCTGCGGCAATGTATTTGCCTTCTGCTGGTGTCAATATTCTGCTGGCGTACTCAATCGTCCCGTGGCTTTGTTACAAAACCGCGCCGACTCCGACGTCGCTGGCATCAGTGGTCGCTATGAACATCTCTCCAGTAATGGGCAACATTAGGGTTAGCTTCTGCCTTCCCATTTCTTGCAGAATGCGATCAAAGACTTGTTAGGCTTCAGCAGTTCAAGTGAATTTCTTGGCTCACTACCGTTTGGCTTCCTGGCATTTCTATACTACTGATAACTGGTGCAGTAGTGTCTGCCTTTAGTCCACCACAATAAGTTTCCATGGACCTTCCGAACTTTCAAAGTGCTATCTAACGACGTAAGACTGGATACGTATGCCACCAAATGTAAAAAAAATCAGTTTGCTATAATTCAAACTTGCCAATCGATTCAATCATCTAGATAGCTGTATCACTTGTTGGTAGTCAAATTACGAGGTGAGCTGCTAAAACATTCGGTAGGCTCGCGTCGTTTTTTCATTCCCCAAGCACCCTCTTAGTCAGCGGCTACTTTTATTTATCATGTCCCGCCAATTTGAACAAACCGAACTTGTCACTTCAGAACCCCAATTTACCTTATGACACCGGACTAGGAGTTGGTGTGGTGGGGTTAAAGATAGATCTGACAAGGAACTCCGGACGAAATATCTTAGTCAAAATATCACTACTAATTACCGAGTCTGACAGCACGCTTAGTGATTTAGGAAGGTGGAGGTCTAAAGGCGTTTGCAGATTTGTGGAACAGAGTACAATTGCTAGGTTATGTTTCACAGCAATCATGAGTGTCCTGATTGTGGGTACAGGCTGTCTTGATACAACGCTTGGTCACCTGCAGTCAGCCACACACTTGCATTTGGGCTACACGTTTGGCACCTTGCCTAAGATTCAGACACGTGCAAACTGCGCCTACCAGGTTCCCCTTATCATAAATTGTTATAGACTAACTGCAGTCCCAACCTTATTATTCAGCGGCAGCATGAACAACGCTACACGACAACTGATGTTCCCGTAAGCCTAAGAGATATGAACTCCATCTTTTTTGGAGTATTGCCTATATTCGGTTGGATCAAAAGTAGTGTAACTACCGCCATTTAACGTTTGCCAACCAGCGTGCTGGTGCTGCAGTGCATCGTGCGTCACATTTGGACTCCATGCGCCTGTTAAGTCATGCTGTTCGCGTGTCGCCGACAAGCTGTGTTGTTTGCGGATACAGCACCCAGCTACGTGAAACCTCAGATTGGATAAAGCCATGGAACAAACCGTATGAGTAAATCAGCTGTGAAATTTGGCCCCAATGGTGCACGACATCTTTCTTGACAGAAGCCCCATTAGTGGTTACATGTGCAACGTACGGCGCAGTCGCAGCTTTGAAGACGCCTTCGCATTTCATCTCTTACGTCGGTTCTCAACTTTTCTTCGATATCTACCCTTTTTCCTTGTTCATTTCAATGGGCATGCGCAAAACCTATGGAAGAGCTACAAAACAGTTAGCACCTCACTCATAAAAGTCGTCATTTAGGCAGGGGGCTATGGCAGTCAAGTTTACAGTCACTACAAAACTGCTTTACAAGTGTGTTACTATACCAGAAACCTTGAGGTAAGAATATCATCACTCAAGAAAAACAGTGGCTTAACGACTACTGTTGCTGATAGTACGAACGCCCTACTCACACAGTTGAGCTCCTTGGCTACAAAAACCATGGATACTTCTCTCTGTTTCTCCAACAAATATCATTTCTCTATTCCGCGTCATCTTTATGGCAGCAGCTGTCACAAACAGACTGCAGTCCACCGAGAAAGAAAGAAAGAAAGTTTTGTCTAAGGGTTCTCGAAACCCTGCCTTTTCTTTAGGGGTATTACTTGCAGCCTTCTCCAGTCTCTACCTGAATAATGAAATCATCATTTCGATGTACAACGGATGTAAGCGAGCAGATTCCTTAGCCAGGAAGCATTCACTCACAGATGACGAGAACATGCTTTTGGAGAAACAACATGAGCGCTGGTCGAAGCAAAAATGTGAGACAATTAACGCAATATTATAACCACCTGATGAGATAAAATAGGGTCGAAATGCTTTGTGAAATACGGTGTTTTCGAATGGGTGACATCCAATTTCCTCCTGCTTCAGCTTCAGTTACCAATG